AGGAGCAAGAGGTCCCAGCCTCACACCAGGCCATTAAGTCCAGGGTTCCAGTGCTAGGAAGAGAAGTCTCCATAGCTTCTGGCCATAAAAATCAGCAGGGAATGTGACTGAGAGAGATGGAGGGCTTCTGGAATCCCAAGCAGTTTCTTTCAACGGACCTGGGCATGGACTTACTCAGACTCACTCCCTCTGAGCCCCAGTGCTGGGACAGCAGCTCAGAAGGCACCAGGGACATACAGGGAGGAACTGAATTGTCTGACGTCAGTGTGAGAGCTGGAGGGGCAGCCTTCCCCCAGACAGAGTGTTGGCAGGGGCTATTTTCCCTTTGGCGAGGCCTCCCCCAGCAGAGCCAGCAAGCGGGTGCCACATCTGAGTTTCTATCAACCTAGCTCACGATTGTTGCTTCCCTGAGACCTTGCCCCACCAAATTGTGGGCCCACCCATGCTGTTTCCAGTGGGTTTTCTATACAAATGGCCTATCTTGGCTTGTGCTTCAGGCTTCCCTAAAATCTCTCAAACAAACAGCATCTACCTTTGGCATATCCCATACCCCTTGCTGAGTGGCCCCAGGCCTGGCACTAATGGCAGCTTGGTTCTCAGCTTGGCCTTTCCTGGGTGTCTCCAAGCCCAGCACTAGTAGCAGCCATCTGAAGATAACTTTGTAGCTCATTCTAAGTGGCCTGGGCAGAACACAGGCAGTAGCTGACCTTGCTCTGCAACTCCTGGGGGCCCCAGAGCCAGCACACCTGGTGGACAGCTTCAGACCACACTGAAGCACCACCCAACCACTTCCACAAGCAACATGCTCAAGGGGTGGACTCAGCAGGCACCAGAGCCCCACTGAAATAAATGCTGATCCATTTGGTGGGCCCCTGCACAGCAGATCCTCCATGGTGGTTACAGCCAGTCCTTGTAGCCACTTGACCTAGGAATAAATTCCTCTCACTGACATGCCAGCAGCAATTAAGGCTCAACTACAACAAGTGGGTGTACACAGCCCACAAAGGTATTACATCTGGAGTACTCAGCTTGAGTGAACAAAGAGACGGTGCCACTGGATTCTACAGGACACCTACTATGTTAGGCCACTCTACTGAGCCCACGAGATGTAGCAGCTCTATATAGTACATGGAAACAAACACAGGGTGATTGCCAAAATGAAGAGGTAAAGAAATATGTCCCAAATGAAAGAACAGGATTCCAGAAAAAAGAACTAAATAAAATTAAGACAAGCAGTCTACTAGATGCAGAGTTCAAAACACTGATTATAAGAATGCTCAATGAATTTAGAACTTCAACAGCATAAAAAAAGGACATCGAAACCATAAAAAAGATCAAGCCATAAATGAAGGATACACTAACTGAAATGAAGAATAATTTATAGGGAATTAACAATAGAGTAGATAAAGCTAAGGATGAAAATAGCCATTTGAAATATAAGGAGTAAAATATGGGAGTAAAATAATGATGGAAAATTTTCAAACCATGCTAAAAGAAGTAGACATACAAGCTCAGGAAGCACAAAGAGTCCCAAACAAGATGAACCCTAAGAGGCTGACACCAAGGCACATCATAAAATGCAAAAGTTTAAAGACAAGAAAAGGATTAAAAGCAACAAGAGATAAGCAGTTAGTTATCTACGATGGAGCTCCCATAAGACTGTCAGCTGAAACTTTGCAGGCCAGAAGAGATGGGCAAGAAACATTCAATGTAATGAAAAGCAAGGACCTACAACCCAGATTTTTCTACCCAGGAAAACTAACATTTAAAATTGAAGGATATATAAAGAGCTTCCCAGGCAAGAAAAAAGTAAAAAAAAAAATTTCTCACCATCAAGCCAGTATTACATGAAACATTAAAGGGTCTCCTTTTTTTTTTTTTTAAGATTTTATTTGTTTACCTTTAGAGGGGGAGGGAAGGAGAGAGGGAGAGAAACATCAATGTATGGTTGCCTTTCGTGCATCCCCTGCTGGGAACTGGCCTGCATGGAACTGGCCTGCAACCCAGGTATGTGCCCTGACTGGGAATCAAACTGCAGTCGTCTGGTTCGTAGGCCCGTACTCAATCCACTGAGCTACACCAGCCAGGGCTTCTTTTTTCTTTTTTAAAACATTTTTATTGTTGTTTAAAGGGTATTTTTAAGAAGAAAAAAATAAAGATTAAAAATATGAGTGATAAAATGGCAATAAATACATATCTATAAACAACCAAATCTTAAAAAAACAAATAAGTAGAACCAAAACGGACTCATAGATACAGAGAACATTTTGATGGCTGCTGGAGAGCAGGAGGGTTGTAGGGTTGAGTAGAAAAGGTAGAGGGATTAAGAAGTATAAATCAGAAGAAACAGACTAGTCATGAGGATGAAAAGTACAATATAGGGAATATAGTACGTAATGTTCTAATAACTATGTATGGTGTCAAATGGGTACAAGATTTATCAGGATGATTACCTAGTAAGTTATAGAGTGTCTAATCATGGAGTGTACACCTAAAACTAATATAATATGGTATGTCAATTGTAATTGGAAAATAACAATAATTTTAAATAAATGAATAAATGACATTTTTTCAAAAAATCTATTTTCTCAACTTCACACTCTTTTGTAATTTTCTGCCTGTAATATATTAATATAGTACATTACATCAATATACCTCTTTATACATATACACTAACATCTATTCTACTTAGTTCTCTGTTAATCCTTTTGTTAGTAACTCCCTGTTTTAATTATTAATGTTTCATAAAAATGGCAGGGCCTCTCTATCATTTATTTTCCAAGTTTTCTTACCATCTTGCCTGACTCTTCTGTCTGTGGAATTCAAAGTATAGGAAAATTACATTTCATAAATCTCTAGTAATATTTATTAAGTTTGCCATATATGGTTTTATATATACAACTATGTATAATAATATTTATATATTATAATACGTAAATATATAATATGCCACATACAATAAAGAGTACACTCATATAAGGAAATGGGAATTATCAGGATATTTAGCTTCATATTTTCTCTCCCCCTACCTCCTTTTACTGAGGCTGCTTAATTTATATAAATTGAATGCATTTATGAGGCAGTTTTACACTATTGCATGGTTGAGAGGGGCTTCCTGATTCTTAGGTTGTTCTGTTATTGGCTCTCTGATTTAGGAGGAAAACAATGTGAACGTTATTATGCTTAAATGATACCTTCTGTCAAACCATCAGTTTGTCCTCTCCAAATAGCAAACTACGTGTAAGACTCAGATGTTGTTTCTTAATTTGATTTGATAGGTCTTCTTTAATGTTTTTCTCAGAATCTGAAAAACTTTTAAGGTTGAAGTTTTGTGCTACAAGTTTTCACATCTTTGTGTGTGTGTGTCTTTATCATTACACAGAGAAATTAGGAGATGCTACATGTGAGGCTGCTTTATCACTAGATATTTCTAAGTATTGAATAAATATTTGTCTGAAGAATTGGTTCCTTGAGTCTGTGAAACGATTAACTGCAACAGCTAGATTTGCCTATTAGAACTGTTTATAGTGGTGACCGAGACTGTATGCATTAATTATTATCCATCAGAGTGGGGAGGGGTCTTCATTTTTACTTTCATGTCACTCTCTCATGTCAAATGCATTGGTTTCTGTCTGGTTTTAAATGCCCACTGTGACTAGCTAATTTCACTTCCCCGTTTAGCAAGAAAAGAACATTTTCACTTCTGTCTCTGTTAGAACTTGCTCCTCAGATACTACTGAATGAATCCCTCTGTGGGCAGTATATTATGGGCCCTTGTTCCAAATGGGGACAAAATCAGGTCTTGAAGTTCTGCTACAAATGGACTTCTCAGTCTTTCAGTGAAGAGATTATGATCATAGCCCAGAACTTGAAGTAAAGAAAAAAAAAAAGAATCCTGTTTGATAAATACTCTCTGTTTAACTAAGAACTGTGCTACAGGAAATGGTTGAGATATGGTCTTTGTCCTAAAGTGCCTCCAGTCTAGTCTGGTAGATAAACACATTAACCAAACAGCTACACTATGGTGTGAGGAGTTGTGTAATAAAGGGATGAACATGACCCCATGACACAGACATGAGATGATTAAGTCTGCTTGGTCAGCAGTCAGAGAACAAGCAAAACCCAGTTCACCACTGCAGGAAGTCAACAGGGAAAAAATACTGGAAGTAAAAAAAAAAAAAAAAAAAAGATAATCAACAGCAGCAACAACAGAAATAGTCGTAAAGGCTACATAAACTAGTTTCTGGAAATCTGAGTCGAAAAGCTGAGTGTTTGAAGGATGGCATTGAATACAGACAAATGGGAATCCCAGGTGATGTGATCAGCTTATCAAGTTTGTGTAGGCATGAAAATGCTCGCTCTGATGCAGGAGAAATAAATTGTCTGCTATGACTTGTCTTGGTATGCATAGCTGGAGCATTGCAGGTGAAAAACTAGGAATGGCCTCCTAGGATATGCTGTGGGTTTTGAAATATATCCTATGGGTGATTCAGAGGGTATGGTGCAGAAGAATGATATGGTCCCATTTATGTTTTAGAAAGAAAACTGTCAACAGAATAGGGAGCTGAGGCCAAGAAAACAGTTGGGAATAGTTTTTTCCTGCCAGCTGGATATGGAGTTTGCCTTCCATTGCTCTTTGCTTCTGGAAGGGGGTTAAGGCAAAGAAGGAAATAAAAAGGGAGAAGGAAAAGAAGATAAGCCTGATAAAAACTTAAGACCAAGTGTTATGTATGCTTGTGTTACCCCAACATTTACACCAAGAACCATCTGATGTCTGATACTCTTAGCAAAAATTGTAAGGAAATCAGTTGTAAAGAATCAATAATTTTATTAGACAGAAAACATAGCTTTCCAAATTATGGAAATTTTATCCCAGATATGCATTTGAATATTACAGAAAAAATAAAGGAGTAAGCCTAATAGGAAAGCAAAAGTGTACCCTATGTTATAATCTTTGGCCAATGCTTTCTAATTGTTCTTTTTCATATCTTTAAATACAGAATCCCCTTCACCTACAGCTGAGTTTAGAAAATTCATTAAGTTCTGATGCTGATGTCACTGTCTCAATCCTGACCATGAACAACTGGTACAATTTTAGCTTGTTGCTGTGCCAGGAAGACTGGAACATCACCGACTTCCTCCTCCTTACCCAGAATAATTCCAAGTTTCTCCTCGGATCTATCATCAACATCACCACCAACCTCTCCTCCACCGAGGACCTCTTAGGCTTCCTGCAGGTCCAGCTTGAGAGCATTAAGAACAGCACGCCCACGATGGTGATGTTTGGCTGCGACATGGAGGGTATCCGGCGGATTTTTGAAATTACCACCCAGTTTGGGGTAATGCCCCCTGAGCTTCGTTGGGTGCTGGGGGACTCACAGAACGTCGAGGAGTTGAGGACCGAAGGCCTTCCCTTGGGGCTCATCGCTCATGGGAAAACAACGCAGTCAGTCTTTGAGTACTATGTGCAAGATGCCATGGAACTGGTTGCAAGAGCTGTAGCCACAGCCACCATGATCCAGCCAGAACTTGCCCTCATTCCCAGCACAATGAACTGCATGGATGTGGAGACTACAAATCTCACTTCAGGACAGTATCTGTCAAGGTAGGATGCAAGACCTGGGGTACATCCCCATTCACAGGGCTGGGACAGGAAGTAAAATTTCCCTATCTCTTTTGCAAAAATCTTGATTCTTAGTATCTTTAAACTCTAATGTTTCTGACAGGTTTTCAGATTATATAAGGCTAGTATTTCATGGTCTGTCATCTGGAATTTGATCTACAGGCTTTTAGCACATGGTATATAATGGGGAACACTCAGTCCTGCTTTTAAATCCCAGCTTAGTCCCCTACTAGCTGTATGTTCTTGGCAAGTTATTTAACAAGTCTGAGCCTCAGTTTTCTAGTTAGTAAACTGGGATAATATTGAATAGCTTGATATCATAATAAAGATACCATGAAATTACATATGGAAAGTTCCTAACACTGTGGCTCAGTTCATAGTAGATGCATAACAAATAGTTCTACCCTGCCCACACTTTCCCGTATCAATAGACTTGGACAAATCTCTCTAAATCACAGAGAAAAAATTAATCAAGCAGAAAATAGACTTTTCTCTTTCCTCCTAGGCCTTGATGCTTAAGACAGTATAATGTAGCAGTTAAAAGTATAGACCCTGGAGGCAGACTCTGAACTTGAATTTTGACTCTGACACTTACCACTTGCATGACTTGGTCAAGTTACCTAACTTCTCTAAGCCCTGGATTGCTATGTTATATATTTATTTATGTAATCGATGGATTCTACTGTCCATGGAGACACTGTGATAGATACATAGGTAGATGGGTAGATACATGCATGCAAACATACATCTATACATACATAGAGAGCTAGAATAAACTAAGAGTTTCTACAAGAGTATCATGCATATGTACGATTTTTTTAAAATTTAGGCATGTTTCATTCCCACTTCCTCAATCTGGCTCAGAAGTTAAAATGAAAAAGCCCACTTAAATTAAAGAATAACCCATTTTATAGAAATGTTTTTCATGATTTACCCAAAGGAGAATATCTTCAAAGGATGTTTTATAGTGGTCTAATTTTTTTCTGAAAAGGGTCACCTGTAATCAAAGAGGCCAAATCAGAAACCGATTGTTCTCTCAGAGGTGAATGCTTGGCTCTAAATGAGGCCCCATTTTTAGGCAATTCTCTTGGAACAGGGATATCTGACAATAATGAGGAACTCAAGGGAAAATCATAGTATCTTAGCTTTCAGAAAGACATGATTATTTGATGAAAAGTCAGGAAATCCTAAGCATTTTACACTGAATTTTACATACGTGGACTGAGCACCTACTAACTGCAAAGCAACATGCTAAATACCATATATGTGGAAGAGTTTATATATACAGTTATATATATAACATGCACAGCCTATCTATACACTTTCTAAGGAAAGTTGTTAATAAAATAAATAATTTAAACTGTACTTATTAGGAAACTTTTAATGATAAAATTAGATGTTCTACCATAATCCAATCTTTCCACTTTCTTCCATATCGCAATTTGAATCTCCACAATATGGAATTCTATGAATATTTTTTATTTTATATCTACTGTCTGATTTAATCTACCGTTTTTGAACTAGCACATAATTGAGGCACAGGATTTTATCTAGGATAAGAAGCATTTTCTTTCATAACAAAAACATAAGCAACATTTTTATTTGTATTTCAGAATAGCCATTATTTTGAAAAGACAACTGTAAACAGCAGGCAGGAAAAACCAGTGGCAGAAACAACATTAAATATTTAGCATTTTTCTGCCTCATATAAAAAATGGAGCGCCCAGGAAAAATGATTCTGTTTGGATCCTAAAAATGTTTAAAAACTTTAGGAAGAAATATTTGTTGACATGCATTATATATACCTTTGGGGTTAATTTTATTAAGATCAAACTGATGTTTCTGGCTTCTCAAGATTTAATTTATATTAAAGTTGTGTGCCTCCTTCCACAAGGATCTCATGGCACTTTTTACATGAAATTATGTACAAATCATCATTATTTGCCTGCACCTGAGTTGTGAGCCAAAATACAAGTTTTAGTAAGTGCAAATATTGTTGTTCAGCCTAGTTCAATACCTAGGATATAGCAACCACTTAATAGACATTTATTGAACTTGATATAGAAAGAAGGAAAGGAATTTTTCTATTGTATTGGGTTGGCCAGGAAGTTTGTATTTTACCATAGATGGCTCTAGTAGCGCTTAGCTGTCTTTAACTTCATTCAAAACAATTTTGTTACACTTGTATTTGTTACACAATTTTGTATTGTGACAGCTGTCATATCAGCATGCATTTTTTAAAAATTATCCAAATTGGTGAATTTCTGTTTAGCCATTTTAATACTGAAGATGGAAGAAAATACGCAACATTTTCAGCATATTATGCTTTATTATTTCAAGAAAGGTAAAAATACAACTGAAACACAAAAAAAGATTTGTGCAATGTTTGGAGAAGGTGCTGTGACTAATGGAATATGTCAATAATGGTTTGCAAAGTTTTGTGCTGGAGATTTCCCCCTGGATGAGGCTCCAAGGTTAGGTAGATCAGTTGAAGTTGATAGTGATCAAACTGAGACATTAATTGAGCACAATCAACATTATACCATGGGGAAGATAGCTGATGTACTCAAAAAATCAATAAAGTTATTAGTGAAAATTTTAAAAAAAACATATCTTTCACTTTACGGAAAAGAACTAAATTGACTTTTTGGCCAAGCCAATATTTACATCCTATATCAAATGTAGCTGTGGAAGAAAAACAAGTGCTTGACATATTGTCTAAATGAAAAGCATAGTTGTTTTTAACTTACCTAGGTATCATCTAGTTTTCTTCTGTTTTTTGTCTTTTTAATGAAATACTAGGTTAGTGAATAACCTTTGTTCTTGTGGCTTTTTCCACATGCTTATTCCACAAACTACATCCCTCCAAAAGAAGGTTGTGAGAGGTGGAGGCAGCAATTTACAATGTATATGGGCCAGTGACAATATTTTCATCTCTGTGGATGTGTTTGAGAATGAACTTAAAGAACTTCAAAAAATATGCCCAGACCTTCTTAACTCTCTGGTAATGCAGTCAAGGGGAAAGTTTCAAAGTGTTCAGGAGGGGTCAAAGGAAGTGGACAGTCTTTACAATGAATAACTGTGAGGCTGCCTTAAGATATAAAACAACTGTGAATTTTTTCATCATTCTTATTGATTTTGTTGAATACAGTCTTTTACAAAGTGTGTTATTCTCAGTCTCTAAGTCACATCTGCATATACTAATTTTCTTAATTGTTCCTCAATTTTGTGAAGCTGACCCCTCTTTCTCACTGCATAATGCAAGTCGTGGGGATAATGAGCCATGAAGAACGAGTGTCAGAGTTATGCAAGCCTTCATTTCTCACACAGTCATTTTCAGTTTGGGCTGACGGAATTGTTAACATTTTTAAATGTTAATGAAATCACCAGAAGCATGGCTCTTTCAGCCTAGCTTTTTAGACTAGAAAAATCATTTTTCATGGCAGACTACACAGGCGTAATTACAGGTATAAAGGATTTTATTCTTCCCAGGTCTCTACATGCCAGAGCAAACATCGTCACAACTAAATGTAGACAAAACTGCTTGGGTGGATGGAAGGGGGAGGGTCAAGTTCATAGCATAATCTTTAATAATGTATTTCCAAGTTGTTTGATTAAATGTTAATTATTTGAAGACATGAAATCTGGTTGCTTATTTGGTAATGACTCCATGAATACATACGCATGGATGTTTTTGGGTAGCTGGTGACTGTCTCTTCAGCTAGGTGAGGTAGACAGAAATGAAGACATTCAGGCTGCCATTTGGGACCCAACAGCCTACCATGTGAGGTTGAAAAGTAAGTGGCTATAAAACAAAGGGATACGTGATTCTTAAAATAGAGATATGTTGAGATACACAGAGGAGGAAATAATTAGCTCTCCTTTGAGATTTGGTGATGAGGGAAAAACACTGGAATTGGATCTTGATAAATGAATAGTTTTCTGGTTTGGAGCTAAGTCACAGGCAATGAAAATTCACCAAGACCTGAGGAACAATTTGCATATGGTTGGAGCATAAATTGCATATGAAGAGGATTCGACCTGATTCTGGAAAAACTGTTAATTTGATAGCATGCCACACAGGGTTTTTATACCAATCTAAGGACTTTGCATTTATATGCATACTGGATATCACTTGAATGGCAGAACATTAGCCACGACATATTATAAAATCATAATCATGTAACAAATTAATCGAATACAGTACTACAACATAAAATCCTTGCAAGTGATTTTTTAAAAACTATTAGGATTTAACTTTTTTTTATTTCTGAAAATTGGTTTTAACCTTGCCCACATTTATTTCTTTATTCCATTCTAAACACCAGACACTAGTGAAAATAAATAGAGTTTGGGGATTTAGCTACTGATCCTAGGGTTAGGATTTGCCCATGTTTATCTGAAGGCCTTGGGTACTAATGAATCTATTATTCCTGGAGAAAGAGCTCCCTGGGTTACTCCCAGTTTGTTCAAAAGCAATTATCCTTTAAAACATGGGTGTCCAAGGCATGTGGCCCACAGGCTGCTTGTAGCCCAGGACGGCTATAGATGTGACCCAACACAAAATCATAAATGTTCTTAAACATTATGAGATTTTTTTGTGTGATTACGTGTCACAATGTATTTGATCTGTGGCCCAAGACAACTCTTCTTCCAGTGTAGCCCAGAGACCCCAAAAGGTTGGGCAACCCTGCTTTAAGACTTTCAAGAGTCTCCACACTGATAGGCACCCTGTTTCCCGTGGCCTAAGAAGTCCCTTAACCTTTGGCTAATTAATCACAGTCCTGATAGTTATTCTGGCTCCTAAGGAGGATATGGAGTCTTGCCTTTCTTCTTTGAACAGCTTCAGCAGTTCAGTTCTTTATCAAGTAGGCAGTAGTTAATTCATTTATTCATTTACAAATGTTTGTTGAAGCTACAGATATTAGGTATTGGCTCCTACTTCCCTTGGCTCATGCTGGAGACACAAAGAATAAAAGACA